CCTTATTCAGGCCCTCTGCATCCGGACCATAGTGCGTACCTGTCAGACTGACTTTAGTACCTGCTCATTTTGAGCTACTTGTCCCTCTGCAGGCAGTGTTCTTTCTAAAACTCAAATCTGGTGGTCCTGATCACCCACTTCTTGAAGATCTCTAAGGGTCCGATATTACCTACCACAGTCATTTCCTGAGGAAGGTCACACATTCTCTTCAGTAACACTAGGAAAACTACCAAGGCAGTGATTCTCATGAGAACTGGGGGATGGAGGCGAGATAAAAGGCCTCTGAAAATCAGAGAACTTCGGGAAATAGCATTAACTCTTCAGCCTTCCCACAATCTGCCCCCAACTTACCTTAGCAGGCACCAACCACAGGTGCTTCTAGCAGTTTCCAAACCCCACACCCTCTGGTCACCTGTGTCCCTGCATATGGACACTTTTCTACAAAATACTCAACCCCTAAATCACCCTCCTTCAACAGCTCCAAGCAGTGTGATGCTTGCACAATAATCCGCATGGTACAATGCAATCACCAATACATCTGTCTTCCACGGCTGAGATTCTTGTGCAGTGTTTAAGAGACGTCTATACTGTGCCAGTGTCCAGCCCACAGGTCCCAAGCAACAAATGGACTTGCTGTGTGAATGTACCCAAACTCTCTCATTTGAGGAGAGGATGCCAGAGAGATCAGGGGACCTGACTCAGGTAACCTAGCAGTGAGAGCAGGAAAAGCCTCCAGTGCTGACTCTCTGTCCTTTGCAAACTCCCTAAAACCTCCGACTGTGCACTACTAATGAGGCTCAAAGAAGACTTCTGTGGCCGTTTCCCCACAGCTCCAAGCCCAGGTCACCTCGTTCTCCCACCTTCTCCGCCTAACCTCATTTACTCGCTCCCCTCTCCAATACTTCAATTTGATGACCGTCGAGGCTACGGGGCATCGAAAGCCAAGTGACTCAAACAATGTGTCGACAACCCCAGAGCACCACTGGGCTTTCCAAAGAGGGTAGCATCCCACCCTCAGGAGAGGGAAGCATCCCACCCTCAGGAGAGGGAGATTGGCCACTCTCCAGCTGCCGTGCTAGGTCCGACGGTGCCTTTCCCGCCAGGCTGCTGGCAGGCGGCTGGAAAGGGGAAGGCCGGGACCTGTGGGAGGGGGGGCGCCCGCCTTGCCCACCCCAGCGCCCTAGGGCAACGCCCCGCCGCCGGCGCTCACCGAAGACCAGGATGTTCTTGCCGGATGGCAGCTTAGACCTGGCGCGGGTGGACACTTCGCTCAGGATGGAGGACCTGCGGCGACAATGGCAAAAATGTTCAGCGCCGGGCTGGGATGGCCCGGCCCGCGACGGCCCCTCAAGTGTGTCCGACGGTCCGGCCCAAAAGCCGCGCCCTCCCCTGCCCGGCCCGACCTCCCTCGGCCTCACCATAGGCTCTGGCCTTCCTCCTCCTCACTGGTCAGGTCGCCGGCGGCTGCCACCGCGGGCCCGTTGGGACCCAGGAGCAGCTTCTTTTCCACCCCCACCGGCGCCATCTTGCCAACTGCAGCCACAAAGAGGGCCCTCCCCCGGGCACGCCGAGGACCCGCGAGGACCCCGGCCGGGCCGTCCCCCGCTGGCCGTCCCCCGCCCCGCGCCTCCCGCCGACCTCGCTGCGGTTACTGCGCCGCCCAACGTGTCCTCTAGGCCTGCGATGGCCACGGACTACCACGGGTTGCGAGGCCGCCTAGGTGGCGGGCGGCGGTCAGGCAGCCGCCGGGGCAGCCATGCGCGGGGAGGCGGTGGCAGGGGCGGGCACCGTCCGGACCAGGGCGCGCTGGCGGCCTCTGCCGGCCGAGAAGCGCAGAGTAGCCTCCGCCACGCTCGCCGATTCCACTGCGCCGTCTGAGGCCGGTATAACTGACCCGAAAGCCTAGGCTTTGGAATGAGACTGATGCACACACAAAAGCGCCATTTATCTAGAACTCACTGTGTGCCAGAGTCACACATGATCTCACTGAATCTTATCTCTTTCACAGATGAGGAACCTAAAGCTCAGAAAGTTTAAGAAACCCACCCGAGGACCCAAGGCTAGAAGATAGCATTCGGTGTTTCTACTCTTATTCACTATATCATGTATGAATTTGGCCTAACCCTAGTCAAGCCTTGCATTGAAAGACCAGCCTTAAGCAAGACCCCCAAAACCTCATAAATATCCTGCTTTTACCCCTTCTCCTCTGAAGACTAAAGGCTGTGAGATAGTGCTCTTGACCACAGTGCACAATACACTTGGCTGTGCTTTACTAACATGCTTTTTAAAATATTTTCAGGGAGCCAGCATTTCACACCAGAAGAGCCTTTAATTTCCTTGAGTTGAGGGTGGGGGGCGCAGGTGCAGAGCGGGGAGGAAAACAGGGAAAGGAATGGAAAAGGGAAAGAGTGGAGAGTAACTGAAGGAAAAAAATACATTCCATTATCAAGCTTTATTTTAGATGTGGCCTCTACTTGAGGGCTCTTACCATTCTCTATGGAAACAGGCTAACAAGACATTTCTAAATATCACAAGAAAGCGGAATGTGGCAACAAAGCACCAACTAAGTGGGTTTCAGATGAGTAGGATTGTGATCCTGATGCCAAAAATCTGGCAGCATGAATTACGGGATACAAGAAATGGGCATATCATCTGCCAAACTGGAGGTAAAGTTTAAACGAGACGAGAGTGAAAACCCATTGAGTTCCTCCCTTGGATATCTGGGAAAATAAGGCAAAGTGCCAGAAGTCCTAAAAGAGCAAGCAGTGGTGAATTTTCACAGGACAGAAGATGGAGTTGAAAATTACAGGCCAATAAGCTTAATCAGCACTAAGTGAAATTTTGTGATTAGAGGTTAAAGGAAGAGAGTACCAAATTTACACAGTATCTTTCTTTTTTGCAGGAGTACCGTGTAGGCGGATGCTGCGGATATAGCAAATGCAGATTTCAACAGGGCTTTTGACAATTCACATCTTAGATGAGAAAGTGAAATGGAGGCTCGATGATAGCATTGAGGATTATTAAAGACTAGCCCAGCTGGGCATGGTGGCACACGTCTGTAATCTCAGCACTCTGGGAGGCCACGGCAGGTGGATTACAATGTCAAGAGATTGAGACCATCCTGGCCAACATAGTGAAGACCTGTCTTTACTAAAAATACAAATATTAGCCGGGCATGGTGGTGCACACCTGTAGTCCCAGCTACTTGAGAGGCTGAGGCAGGAGAATCGCCTGAACCCAGGAGGCAGAGGTTATAGTGAGCTGAGATCACATCACTGCACTCCAGCCTGGTGACAGAGCAAGACTCTGTCTTAAAAATAAATAAAATAGGCCGGGCGCGGTGGCTCACGCCTGTAATCCCAGCACTTTGGGAGGTCGAGGCGGGTGGATCACGAGGTCAAGAGATCGAGACCATCCTGGTCAACATGGTGAAACCCCGTCTCTACTAAAAATACAAAATAAAAATAAAAATAAGTAAAAAAATAAAAAAATAAATAAATAAAGACTAGCCCAGAGGTGGCTGATGAAGAGGAGGGACCAGCAAAAAAGGATGCTAGGGGCTTGCCCAAACCTACTGCCCTGGCTAGCCAATTCAGGGTGCCATCAGTGACTTGGATAAGAATAGAGTAGCAGTCATGAAGTTGTGGATGACCTGAAGCAAGAAGGGTTGCCTTATCTACTGGATGACAAACTGAGCAGAGACTAAATCTAACAAGATGAAATTTAGCAGGAACTACTGAAGTCCTGTGGAAGGGTTTAACAAAAATGCATAGGAAGTCCAGGTGTGGTGGCTCATGCCTGTAATCCCAGCACTTTGGGAGGCCAAGGCTGGTGGATCTCTTGAGGTCAGGAGTTCCAGACCAGCCTGGCCAACATAGTGAAACCGCGTCTCTACTAAAAGTACAAAAAAAAAAAAAAATTAGCCAAGAATGGTGGCATGCATCTGTAATCCCAGCTACGTGGGAGGCTGAAGCACAAGAATCGCTTGAACCCAGGAGACAGAGGCTGCAGTGAGCCGAGATCGTACCACTGCACTCCAGCCTGGACGACAGAGCAAGACTGTCTAAAAAAGAGAAAAAAAATCCATAGGAATGGGATAGGAAATTGTTTGAAAGTAATAAAACTTACAATCTAAAAGTCATTAGTGTATTAACTATAATCTGAGAGTTGGTCATGTAGAATGCCACGAAGCCTCTTAGGGTAGAACCCATAAAACCTCACTGATGCTAACAAAGAAGCTATGCCAGTCAGGCTGATTTCTTAGGGTGACATTTCTGGACACATTTTGCAAAGACAGAGGTGTCCAGTGGTCACTGACTAAACTCATAAGGGGATGTGACATTGTTCTGCTGCAACACCAAGTAACTAGGGCTCATCAATATGAAGGATAAAGATACATAGAGAGAATGGAAAGTGTAGCCACTTCTAAAAAACTAAAGCAAATAAACACACACCAAAAAGGAGTGAACCTGACTATACAATGTGGGAGTATTCAAATCAACATCGCAATTAGCGTTTAGAAGAATATTGTTTACTACAGTAAATACGGAAACTTTTTAAAGAGACAGGGTCTCACTCTCTTGTCCAGGCTAGAATACAGTGAAACACTCATAACTAACTACAACCTTGAACTGTCAAGTAAGTAGGACCACAGAGGCATGCCACCACATCCAGCTAATTTTTAAATTTTTTATAAAGATGGGGGTCTGTTGCCCAGGCTGGTCTTAAACTCCTTGCCTCAAGTAATCCTCCCACATTGGCCTCCCACAAATGTGAGCCACCACCACAGCCAAGGAAATATTTTAATTAACATAATGGCAAATATTGATTTAGTATGTGGGAACCTTAAATAGCTTGGGAAACTATACTTTCTGAATTCTGGGGAGGGACATTTGCACAGTGTAAAAATACTAAAATCCAAATGTCTCACATAGGATTTACTGCAATATAATGCCAAATAACGTTTAAAGGCTCATCATTCTTTTCTGTATGTCCTTTAAGCTTAAGGAAAAATAAAAGCATATTCCTAAACAAATGTTTGATCTTATGAAGGAATTTTATCTTACTAATCTGTATACTGAAAATATATTTGCTTTATAAATCATTGTAATAATTTGATGAGTTTCAGCATCACAAAAACTGTTTAATGAAAACTGTATCCTCATTTCCACATTCCTTCTCATGAGAGTTTAGAAAAAAACTTTAAATGTAATGTATATTTCAAGGCACTGTATTTTAAGAATCCAAACTAAAAACCGACAGTCTTCTTCCAATCAAGAAGCTGCACACTTGGGGCGTTTGGTCAGCTTGTGGTATTTGTGAGCAAGGTCCACAGCCTTCCGTCCTTGCTGAAAGGGGAAAGACCACAAAATTAAATTCCAGTGATTTCCCATTTTCTTAACTCCATTGAAAAGGTAATTTACTTCTTCTTCAGTAAAGTTTTTGCGAATTCTTCTTGTTTCTGTAATTAGAATTGTAGAATATGTTAGTATTTGCTGAACAAAGGTCCTGAGATGCAAATAAGTGCTTATTTGGATATGTTTAACTTATACTTAAGGATGTAAACTATAGAGAGAAATGCCAGGGCTACTCATATGTGGAAACCCACTTCAATTTTAAAAACCTGAGTGCCTAATATTAAGCTAGTTGCTATCACTGTGACTTCTTCAGTAATTATAACTTAAACTACAGTAGTAATACAATATCTTTCAATCTAAACTTTTGTTTAGAAACAAAAGTTTATAAACATCTGATTGTTAATTCAACATTCCTGTGAGGCCCGTTAACAAACAGCTTACCGGCCAGGTGTGGTGACTCACACGTATAATCCCAGCATTTTGGGAGGCTGAGGCAGGTGGATTACTTGCAGTCAGAAGTTCGAGACCAGCCTGGCCAATGTGGCAAAACCCACTCTCTACTAAAAATATAAAAAGTAGCCAGGTGTGGTGGCACATGACTGTAGTCCCAGCTTCTTGGGAGGCTGAAGCATAAGAATTGCTTGAACCTGGGAAGCAGAGGTTGCAATGAGCTGGGATCGCGCCACTGCACTACAGCATAGGCGACGGAGCAAGACTCTGTCTCAAAAGAAAAAAAAAAAAAAAAAAAACAGAGAAAGACTCTGTCTCAGAAAATAAATAAAAGCACTCTGGGAGGCCGAGGCAGGCGGATCACCTGAGGTCGGGAGTTCAAGACCAGCCTGACCAACATGGTGAAACCCGGTCTTTAAAAAATAATAATAATTAAATAATAATAATAATAATAAACAAACAGCTTACCTATCTTACAGATACACTCTTCCCAAAGGGCTCCATAACTTGATAGAATAGAAAAGAATATCAACACTTGTTATTTTAAATATTAGGTTTGATAATGATTTTAAGAATAGAGGTCTTTTGAAATTTGCTTTTAAAAATATGGTCAGCTAGATCAAAACTCAAACTGTAGGCTGCAAAATGGGGAAGGAAGTTTTTAATTATCTGGTTTTTAAGGGATACTTTCTATAACAGAAAGAATATACAGTTGGTATCTGTAAACAAACATTTTCTGATGATTACCAGGAAATAGTTTAAGCTTTTTTATTTATTATTATTTCATGTTATCATTGTAGATAGATGGTGGTGAGGAGAAGTTTTTTGTATTTCCACTTGAGGCTGTTATTTACTTTAGTAGTACTGGGTGCAGTTATCCTGGGTCAACTTGGAAATCCTAGAAAATCTTGCCCTTGCAGGCCAAGACGGCCATTTGTTTAGCTTTCCTAAGAGTTACTGTTCAGACCTTTTAAAACAGAGAAGAAAATCTTCCCAGCAGAAGGTTGAGAAATCAGTGTAAATAATGTGATTACTTGATAGTATTATTTAGAATGTAAGCTCCATGAGGAAAGCAATTTTTATCTATTTTATTCACCATTGTATCCCCAGTGCTTAGAATAATATCTGACACACAGTGGTGGTCAATAAATACTTGTAGAGAGAAAAAAATTACTGGTAAAACTATCTCAAAACATATCAATGAAATTACTCCTTCCTTTTGGGTCTACTGGAAAACTGTGGCTATCCAAGAAATAGGTTTCAACTTCCCCTGCTAAATGATTTGAACTCATAATAATTAGAACTAGATTGGTTACTATAACTTTCAGGATATTGATCCCTGGAGTTGATCATGTAAAGCCCCTTTTCCATTGTGGCTGCCATCCCCCTGGCTTTTATACTTAACATCCGTGTCCAAATCCTCTAAGATTCCTACAGCAGAGTACTGGGCAGCCTGGAAGAAGGAAATAGCTCTCTACATCCCAAACTCCCTGCTCTGTGGCTTCTTTCGTGCTCCTCTTAATATTGACTAGGTATTAGGGAAGAGCAGGGGAAAATGGGCTTAATTCTAGGGACTCTTTATTTTTCAAGCCCTCTCAAAACACCAATCCATCTTGAAATAGAGCCTTGGGGAAATCTGTAAATGCTTAGTACAGTGGTCCCTTCTCAAAATAATGGGTTCAAATTTGAGTATAAAGTATAATTAAATGAATGGTAGTAAGTATCCTAAAAGAAAGGTAAGTTTATCAAGAGGGGAAAAAATGGCAACATACCAAATATTCCTGGCCTGCTTGTGAAAGAAATGTAAGAATCACTGCTTTCCCAAGATTCCTTTCTAAATTCTAAAAAATTAGGCCAGATTATTTGGTTTTAGCTAAAGCAAGTTTAACCTACAAAAAAAAAAAAAAAAAAAATTGCTTGAACCCAGGATGTGGAGGTTGCAGTGAGCCGAGATCATGCCATTGCACGCCCAGGCAACAAGAACAAAAAAAAAAAAAAAAAAAAAAAAAAAAAGTATGTTTTTTTCTGAGCTCAATGTCACTTAACAGTATATAAGACCCCTGTATATAATTATTGTATAACCATTATTATGCCTGTTTCATGAAGCTCTGCAAACTATTTTACTGTACAAATGGATTACAGAATATTTTTTGTTGTTACCTACTTGCTTTAAGACATTTAAAAAAAAATCTATTACTAATTTGATGCCAAGTCCTTGTCAAGAACAAGATCTCCAAGTGCATGATGTTTCTATGAAAAATATCCATTTTCTAACAATTACTACAGAAAGTATTATTTCAGAAAGTCGGCTCATCTGTAGTGGGACTATACTTAATTATAATTTGTATGCAGAACTTTTAATCTAAAAAAGACCCAAATATAAAAAGCAAATTTGAAATTTCTTGAAAGTTTTGGCCGTGAAAATAGCCAGATAAATATATGTGGCAAAATGCTTCCTGAATGTATCAAGTCCAAATGTCTCTGTAATAAATAACAGAGTGGCTCTATAGATGTTACTAATTCCTAGATTACTTTGATAAGTAACATATCCAACCAATTTTAGTCAGTGGGTTTAACTCCATATGAATAAAAGAAAATGATAATGTTATTCAATTTTCTGATAAATTGGAAATGGTGATCAACATGAAATGTTAACCCTATAGTTAAATAAAAATTCCCATAAATTAACTAATTGTTTAAGAAGCATTTTTATTTTTTAAGCAGAATTTTAAGGTTTATACTATTTGTCTCTTCAATTTTTATTGTTTCAAGGGCTATAGCTATGAACAAAAACCTCCTGGAAAGTCTCTCTGACGCATTTGTACATTAACAATTTTGTTCTTAAAATAGAAATATGAAGATAGAACAAGGGCTTCTGGAGAATGGCTTTTTGAATTAAAGTTCTGTTACTTACCAACTAATTATGCCTTACAATAGGAGCAAATTTATATCTAACTTACAATATTGCTATAAGAATTAAAGAAAATAATGTCTATACAACACCTAACACCTAGCAGCTACTTAATACATGTTAGTTTCCTCCTGCTCCATTCCCTGTTGGCAGGCAATGGGTGACCAGGCAACATGAAGAGGAAATTCTCTTTTATTAGAAGGTATGAACCTCATCAGAGGCGAGGTTTACCATTTAAGATCCATTAATGATGGGACTAAGAACAACAACTCAACTGTTCATTTTTTCCTCAGAAATATATGAAATTTAAGTTCATTTAAAAATTAAATATATTCAACCGGGCACAGTGGCTCGTGCCTGTAATCCCAGCACTTCGGGAGGCCGAGGTGGGTAGATCACTTGAGGCCAGGAGTTTAAGACCACACTGGACAACATGGTGAAAACCCATCTCTACTAAAAATACAAAAATTAGCTGGGCATAGTGGTGCGTGTCTGTAATCCCTGCTACTCAGGAGGCTGAGGCAGAAGAATCACTTGAACCTGGGAGGTGGAGGCTGCAGTGAGCCGATTGCTCTGCTGCACTTCAGCCTGGGTGACAGAGCCAGACCCTGTCTCAAGAAAAAAAAAAATTAAATTAAATTAAATATATTCACTTATTCCTCCAGGGGTAGTAGATTCATTACTGAGTCGTCGTCTTCTACATGGGGTCAGCAGAATTTCTGAAAAATATGGAAAAACATTTAGCACACTTAGTGTATCAATCTGAGTAATAGCATATCAATTCCATTAATATATTTCCTTTATTTCCCCATCTAGTTGGAATCCTTAGGTAAATTAGGAAAAAATTTTAAACTAACAGAGTCCAAGACTACTCCCTGGGTACATCTTGAATTACTGGTTGCTTAGAGACAGATTTTCTTTTTAACATTATTTTATCCTTTAGGTTTTAATGTATTTAATGTTTTAGATAATAGTTCAGAAGGTATAGCCATAATTATACTTTTAAAGCTGCTGAATTAATTACTTTTGTTACAGATAAGTGATTTCCTTAGTTCATTTTTATATCTGTCTTCAGCTTCCACAATGACTCTGTGACGATCACATTGGTATGGGCAAGAGTGCAAGAGCTTGCTAAAGTTTCGGCTATTCAGGGATTTTTCTACTGCTATGCAACCTAAAAGAAAACAAATTAAAGTTATGTATGGATGTCACAAAATATCTAGTAACAAATCTATGAAAGCAAATATCTATATGATGTTAACTGAAGTAAAATCAGGAACTATGAATACTTCAAGAAGCTCAAAATCATGTGAGGGAGTAAAGACAACAAATACAATAGTGTAAAGTAAGTGTTGGGAAGGAGGTATGAACAGACAATTAATTGTGCTTTAGGCTGGGCGCAGTGGCTCACACCTGTAATCCCAGCACTTTGGGAGGCTGAGGCGGGTGGATCACAAGATCAGGAGCTCAAGACCAGGCTGGCCAATATGGTGAAACCCTGTCTCTACTAAAAATACAAAAATTAGCTGGACATGGTGGCAGGCGCCTGTAGTCCCAGCTACTCAGAAGGCTGAGGCAGGAGAATTGTTTGAACTTGAGAAGCGGAGGTTGCAGTGAGCCAAGATTGCACCACTGCACTCCAGCCTGGGTGACAGAGTGAGACTCCATCTCAAAAAAAAAATAAAAGAAAGAAAGAAAAAGAAAAAACATCTACGCTGGGTGTGGTGGCTCATGCCTGTAACCCCAGCACTTTGGGAGGCCTAGGTGGGCGGATCACTTGAGGTCAGGGGTTCAAGACCAGCCTGGGCAACATGGCAAAACCCCATCTCTACTCAAAATACAAAAATTAGCTGGGCATGTTGGTGGGTGCCTATAATCCCAGCTACTTTGGAGGCTGAGGTGGAAGAATTGTTTGAACTCAGGAGGCAGAGGTTGCCATGAGCCAAGATCGTGCCATTGCACATGAGCCTGGCCAACAGAGCAAGACTCAATCTTAAAAAAATAAGAAGAAGAAAAGAAAAAGAGCATCTAGGGCTGGGCGTGATGGCTCATGTCTGTAATCCCAGCACTATGTTGCCCAGGATGGTCTTGAACTCTTGAGCCCAAGTGGGAGGATCACTTGGGCTCAAGAGTTCAAGTGATCCTCCCACTTGGGCTCAAGAGTTCAAGACCATCCTGGGCAACACAGTGAGACCCTGTCCCCACCAAAAAAAAAAAAAAAAAAAAAAAATAGCCGGGCGTGGTGGCACACATTTGTAGTCCTAGCTACTTAAGAAGCTAAGGCAGGAGGATCCCTTGAGACCAGGAGTTCAAGGCTGCAGTGAGCCATCATCACATCGCTGCACAGAATAAGACACTGTCTCTCTTTCTTTTTTTTTTTGAGATGGAATTTCACTCTTGTTGCCCAGGCTGGAATGCAATGGCGCAATCTTGGCTCACTGCAACCTCTACTTCCCAGGTTCAAGTGATTCACCTGCCTCAGCCTCCCAAATAGCTGAGATTACAGGCATGTGCCACCATGCTTGGCTATTTTTTAGTAGAGACAGGGTTTCTGCATGTTGGTCAGGCTGGTCTCGAACTCCCAACCTCAGGTGATCCACTAGCCTCAGCCTCCCAAAGTGCTGGGATTACAGGAGTGAGCCATCGCACCTCACCAAGACCTCTGTCTCTTTAAAAGAAAAAAAAAAGGAACATCTAGTTTGTCTGGTTTTGAACAAGAGTCACTGTTAAGAGAAGATAACCAAAATAAGTAATCGTTAGCCTCAGTCATCTTTTTTGTTTTTGACATTATGCAAAATTTCAAACACTGAACCCCCATGTATCCATCACCCAGCTTCAATAATTATTAGCTCATGGCCAATAATATTTTATTTATACCTCTACCTACTCAGCTCTGTCCCCATATATTCATTCGATTATGACATCTGGAATTTACATTAAAGTATAATTTCATCTGTAAATACTTCACGTCTATCCTTAACAGATAAGGACTTGTTTTTGTTTTTCCTGTGACAGGGTCCCACTCTGTCACCCAGGCTGGAGTGCAGTGGTACAATCACAATTCACTTTAATCCTGACATCTTGGGCTCAAGCGATCCTCCAGCCTCAGCCTCCTAAGTAGCTGCAACTATAGATGTGCTCCATCATACCTGGCTAATTTTTTAATTTTTATAGACACAGGGTCTCCTTACATTCCCAGGGCTGGTCTCAAACTCCTGGGCTTAATTCTCTCACCTCAGTCACCCAAAGTGCTGGGATTACAGGTGTGAGTTGCCGTACCCAGCCAGGACTTTTTTTCTAAGACAGTGTCTCACTCTGTCACCTGGGGTTGGAGTGCAGTGGCATGATCTCAGCTCACTATAACCTTAACCTCCTGGGCTCAAGCAATCCTCCCACCTCAGCCACCCAAGTAGCTGGGACTACAGGCACGTACCACCACACTCAGCTAATTTTTGTATTTTTTTTAGAGATGGCGTTTCACTATGTAACAGCCCAGGCTGTTCTCAAACTCCTGGGCTCAAGTGATCCATTTGCCTCAGCCTCCCTAAGTGCTGGGCTACAAGCATGAGCCACTACGCCTGGCCAGGATCTTTTCTGTAAACACATAAAACTACTGTGACACCTAAAAAATCATTTAATATAATCTAACATCCAGTGTCCCATTTGCCCCATCAATTCAAAAATTTCTTTTGAAAGTTGGTTATTGGAATCATGTCCCAAATAAGGTCCAGCATTCCTTTATTTTTTTTCAAGAGACAGGGTCTCACTATGTTGCTCAGGCTGGACTTGAACTCCCGGGCTCAAGCAATCCTCTCACCTCAGCCTCCCACATAGCTGGAACTACAGACACATGCACCACTGTGTCTGACTTATATTCGGTTAACATATGTCAAGGTACTTTTAATCTATCAGTTTTCTGATACATTAGTTGCTTTTAATTTATCAGTTGTCATTTGCTTATTGAAGTATCTCTTCCTTGTCATTTACTTATTGAAGATACTAGGTCATTTGTACTATAGTTTCTCAAAGGCTAAGTTTTGCTGATTGCATCCTAGCGGTGTCCTTTAAAATGTTCCTGTGTATCCTATAAACTAGTAATTAAATTTAAATGGTCGGATTCAGGTTCAAGTGTTTTTACTAGAATGCCATGCAGGTAGTATTTTGCGTTTCTTATTGTATCACATTAAAAGGTACAGATTCTGTCTCTTAAAAAAAAAAAAAAAAAAAAAGTAATTGGGCAGCCTCTTGAGCCAGAGTAGGCTCAGAGAAACTCCCTCTTTTAAAAAAAATATTAAGATAGATCAGCAGCAAACCACCATGGCACATGTTTACTTATGTAACAAACTTGCACATCATGCACATGTTACCTCTGAACTTACAATAAAAGTTGGAAAAACATTTTTTAAAAAAGATAGATCGGTAGGTTTAGGTTATGTCAGCCATGTCCATCCATTATAAAGTTCTCCATCAGCTTGTCACCTAACTGTATCAGTGGCCCATTCCTAAAGGACTAGAAGTTGGCCACACGGATAGTTGGCTGACATGAAAACATTTCAGTACTATGAAGATGTGCAAAAGCACAGAAGCGTGAAAAAGCATAGTGTTCAGAGAATCATGAACACTCTAATATGTCTAGAGTACAGAGAAGTGTGGGAGAAAAGGTGAGGCTGAGAAGGGTTGCAGGGAACCAGACCAAGGAGAATCTTGAAAGCCATGCTAAGGAATTTTAACTCTCTCCAAGGCAACAGAGAGGAACACAGAGATACTTATTAAGCAGCAAGATGACATGATTTCATTTGTCTTGTAGAAAGGGCAGCTGAAGGCAAGAGGAGCAGTTGAGAGGTTACTTTGGTATTCCAGAAAATAAATGGAGAGATTTTGAAACAAGGCATTTGCAGGGAGAATGGAGAGATTTCTGAGGTAAAATTAGAAGGATTTGATGAATAATGAGCTACTGGGGTAAGGGAAATGTTTAGAATAATTCTCAAGAAATTTGGTACTTGATGAAATGGCAGAGTTTGAAATAACCGTAGGCTGGGCACGGTGGCTCATACCTGTAGTCCCAGCACTTTGGGAGGCCGAGGCAGAATGATCATGAGGTCAAGAAATCGAGACCATCCTAGCCAACATGGCAAAACGCAGTCTCTACTAAAAATACAAAAATTAGCTTGGTGTGGTGGCACGCACAGGTAGTCCCAGCTACTTGGGAGGCTGAAGCAGGAGAATCACTTGAACCCAGGAAGCAGAAGTTGCAGCAAGCCAAGGTCACGCCACTGCACTCCAGCCTGGCAACAGAGCAAGACTTCATCTCAAAAAAAAAAAAAAAAAATGTGGAGAAAAAAGACATATGAGATTCTGATTATGGCTAGGCATCAGCTTTAGAGGAACAGAGATAACCTTTTTTATCCAAGAGGGAAGAACAATGATGTTCTGAGCTGTATGTAGAGAACCTCGATTTTGTCCATAGAGCAGAGTACAACAGCAAGATGAACAAAGAGGAACTACCAGGGTGTGAAGGAGGAGGAAAAGGGATAGAATAAGTATTGTGGACATTTACAAGAGCCCTGCAGAAAAAATAAAGAATGGACATGAAACACGAGAAATATTTACATATTTATTATAAATATAAAAATAGGTAGGGCCGAGTGCGGTGGCTCAAGCCTGTAATCCCAGCACTTTGGGAGGCCGAGGCGGGTGGATCACGAGGTCAAGAGAT